GTTGGCGTTAGCCCACATTTTTCGGTGAAAAAATAGAAAATTTTATTTTAATGCATATTTCCATCATTCAGTGACATAGTATGAATGTTAAAGAGGTTTGGGACCTTAGGTGTTTATGATTCTTTAGATAATAGAGTGTTTGTAGGGGGTTATCCACTGATTAAGAGGTATATGAATTTTAAATAAATAACCTATTAGAAAATTAGAAATGTTGTCCATGTACCATGAAACTAATTTTAACATACATATATATAAACTTAAAATATGATTAGGTAATTATTTATCAACAATGAAGAGCCTAAATTTATGAATATAGCATTTATCGAAAAACTCGATTTTTCGTAGGGGTTAGCCCACATATTTCGGAAAATTAGAAAATATGAAAATTTTGTTTTAATGCATATGTGCATCATTCAGTGACATAGTATGAAGGTTAAAGAGGTTTGAGACATAGTTTTTCATGTTTCTTCAGAAAATAGAGTTTTATTGGGTTTGTCCACCAATTAAAGAGTATATGAATTTTAAATAAATAACCTATTAGAAAATTATAAATGATGTCCACGTACCATGATACTAATTTTAACATACATTATACAAACTTAGAATGTGATTAGGTAATTATTTATGAACAATGAAGAGCCTTAACTTCTGAATATAGCATTTATTGAAAAACTTAATTTTTTCGTAGGGGTTAGCCCACATATTTCAGGAAATATAGAAAATATGAAAATTTTGGTTTAAGGCATATTTGCATCATTCATTGGCATATTATGAAGTTTAAATAGGTTTGAGATCTTAGGTGTTCATTCCTTTTTCAGAAAATAGAGTTTTTTAAGGGATTTGTCCATTGATTAAGTAGTGTATGAATTATAAATAATTAAACTTTTAGAAAAATAGAAATGATGTCCATGCACCATGAAAACAATTTTAACATACATATATATAATCTAAGAATGTGATTAGGTAGTTATTTATCAACAATGAAGAGCATAAACTTCTGAATATAGCATTTATCAAAAACTTGATTTTTCGTAGGGGTTAGCCCACATATTTCGGGGAAAAAATAGAAAATATGAAAATTTTATTTAATGCAAATTTGCATCATTCAGTGACATAGTATGAATGTTAAAGAGTTTTGATACCTTAGGTGTTTATGATTATATAGAAAATAGAGTTTTTGTAAGGGGTTTATCCACTGATTAAGTGGTATATGAATTTTAAATAAATAAACTTTTCGAAAATTAAAAATGATGTCCATGTACCACGAAAATAATTTTAACATACATATATACAAACTTAGAATGTAATTAGGTAATTATTTATCAACAATGAAAAGCCTAAATTTCTAAATATGGCATTTATCGAAAAACTCGATTTTTCGTAGGGGTTAGCCCATATATTTCGGGAAAATAGAAAAGATGAAAATTTTGTTTTAATGCATATCTGCATCATTCAGTGACATAGTATGAAGGTTAAAGAGGTTTGAGACCTTAGTTTTTCATCTTTCTTCAGAAAATAAAGTTTTTGTAGTGGGTTTGTCCACTAATTAAGTGGTATATGAATTTTAAATAAATAACCTATTAGAAAATTAGAACTGATGTCCATGTACCATGAAACTAATTTTAACATACATATATACAAACTTAGAATGTGATTATATAATTATTTATCAACAATGAAGAGCCTAAACTTCTAAATATACTATTTATCGAAAAACTTGATTCTTTCGTAGGGGTTAGCCCACATATTTCGGGAAAATTAGAAAATATGAAAATTTTGTTTTAATGCATATTTGCATCATTCAGTGACATAGTATAAAGGTTAAAGAGGTTTGAGACCTTAGTTGTTCATCATTCTTCAGAAAATAGAGTTTTTGTAGTGGGTTTGTCCACTAATTAAGGGTATATGAATTTTAAATAAATAACCTATTAGAAAATTATAAATGATGTCCATGTACAATGAAACTAATTTTAACATACATTAATACGAATTTAGAATGTGATTAGGTAATGATTTATCAACAATGATGAGCATAAATTTCTGAATATAGCATTTATCGAAAATTTTGATTTTTCGTAGGGGTTGACCCACATATTTCGGGGATAAATTAGAAAATATGAAAATTTTATTTAATGCATATTTGCATCATTCAGAGACACAGTATGAATGTTAAAGAGGTTTGGGACCTTAGGTGTTTATGATTCTTTAGAAAATAGAGTTTTTGTAGGGGGTTTATCCACTGATTAAGTGGTATATGAATTTTAAATAAATAAACTTTTCGAAAATTAGAAATGATGTCCATGTACCATGAAAATAATTTTAACATACATATATTCAAACTTAGAATGTGATTAGGTAATTATTTATCAACAACGAAGAGCGTAAATTTCTGAATATAGCATTTATCGAAAAACGCGATTTTTCGTTGGGGTTAGCCCACATATTTCGGGAAAAATGGAAAATATGAAAATTTTGTTTTAATGCATATTTGAATAATTCAGTGACATAGTATGAAGGTTAAAGAGGTTTGAGACCTTAGTTGTTCATCTTTCTTTAGAAAATAGATTTTTTGTAGTGGGTTTGTCCACTAATTATGTGGTATATGAATTTTAAATAAATAACCTATTAGAAAATTAGAATTGATGTCCATGTACCATGAAACTAATTTTAACATACATTAATAAAAATTTAGAATGTGATTAGGTAATAATTTATCAATAGTGAAGACCCTAAACTTCTGAATATAGCATTTATCGAAAAACTCGATTTTTCGTTGGGGTTAGCCCACATATTTTTGAAAAAAAATAAAAAACATGAATTTTTTGTTTTAATGCATATTTCCATCATTCAGTGACATATTATTAAGGTTAAAAATGTTTGAGACCTTAGGTGTTAATGATTCTTTAGAAAATAGAATTTTTGTAGGGGGTTTGTCCAGTGATTTAGTAGTATATGAATTTTAAATAAATAACCTTTACGAAAATTAGAAATGACGTCAATGTACCATGAAATTAATTTTAACATACATATATACAAACTTAGAATGTGATTAGATAATTATTTATATACAATGAAGAGCCTAAACTTCTGAATATAACATTTATCAAAAAACTCGATTATTTCGTAGGGATTATCCCACATATTTCGGGAAAATATGAAAATTTTGTTTTAATGCATATGTGCATCATTCAGTGACATAATATGAAGGTTAAAGAGGTTTGAGACCTTAGTTGTTCATCTTTCTTCAGAAAATAGAGTTTTTGTAGTGGGTTTGTCCACTAATTACGTGGTATACGAATTATGATGAGGTCTAAAGTTCATGTGAATTTTTTACTATATGATAGTTATGATGGAAAATATTGTTGCAAGGTCTTTAAATTCAATTGGCTTAATTTTTTTCTTTTTAAAATTAAATAAAAAATAAGTGTACAATTAAAAACGTATGAGAGAGCATGTGTCGATGCTGTTGCTCTTAGAGCATTCACATTGATAAGAAATCCATTTAAATTTTTCAAGTAATTAATTTATTAAATTTATAGTTATAAAATAGTGTAAATCAAGAGTTATTTTTTGGTGAGAGATTCATCTAGATACTCCCACTAATGATAGTTTAGTGGTGAACATACCACGAGTCACAATTCCTCGCATGAATGCATATTGAGTCTAAAAGAAAACGAGATTCCAATATCATTATTTCCTTGAGAAACAAGATACACTGCGTTTGCAATGATTGAATTTGCTTTTGTATGAGCTACGACCTTTAGCTTCATTATGTACTTTTGTAGTCACTTATTTGGTCGCCCCGCTTTATAACTCTCTAACCAAACCGCCACCCACATAATGTTTATTAGAAAATGTAAGTTAAGACATCCTATAATACTTAAACCGAAGTAACAAGTTCGGTATCTTTATATTAACCATTAGTCTAGATGTAACAGGGTCAACTCCTGCACCACCTGATGCGAAACAAATTCCAGTTTTAAGGTCGCTTGGAGCAATGAAAAACTTACGAGCAGCTGGTAAAGTTTTTTTTTAACCCCAAACCCTCCACTGCCACAACCCAAATATAAAAAGTGGTATGTTGAATAATAAAGTTAGCTGATAAAAATAACATTTAGCTGATAAATGGGTGTAAATGTTAAATTGTGAAGTAACATTTTATTAATTTTTTTTTCCAAAAAATGAACAACTATTATTAATCGATGCGAAGATAGAAGTTCATCCAGATAATCCAATTAATAAATTTGGATATCGACAGTGAGACTATCACATTGTAAATCTTTTCTGCAATGTTCTTAGGCTCGTGATTAAAAAACGTGGGATCATACAGAAGATGTGATAGTTATCATAATTTTTCTTTCTACCAACTTATAATAGTGTTCCTATACCATTTTCCCGTTGCACTTCAGTGTAACAGGTATTATGTTTTGTTTATCCGTAGTTAGGACTTGGATTTCCTTGTTTATTTATCATATTATGTAATTACTTAATTTTTCTTTCTTTCAAATTTTTAAGTATGATAGGTTGAATGATATTTTTTCTTCCTTCAACCAATTTCATAATAGTATTGCTAAATCTTAGTCTATTTTTTAATAAAATGCTAAAACATATTATCTTTTTTTTTTTCTTCTTTGGACTTTTATTGTTGCTTATTTGTTTCAAATCTTGTGTAACTACGTTGCATATATGAAACATTTATCAACCTAACATACAAATTCCTTTTTGTAAAGTATTGAAACAATAATTGCATGAAAACTTTAAATAATATTTATTCATGTGCTAAATAAAATAGATAAGTAAAATGGGGCGTTATTTTAAAAAGAATACAATAATGCATTTTGAGTACATCTTCAAAGTTTTCCCTCTCCCCCCTACAATCTATGGAGACCACCAACAATGCCTAGAGAAGTGGAAACAATGAACAATAAAACACCCCAACTAAACGTGTGCAAAAACAAATTCACACGTGCCTCACAAGTCACAAAACCCTTAAACCCACCCTATTTCAAAAGACGTCGTCGTTTACACCTACGTGACCTCGCCGTGTCCAAAACATTGTCACTATTTTCACCAGTAGACGACTCAGCCTCATTTGCAAATTTTATCTCCGCCAAAACTTTACTCTTAGTTTCTTTTCTCTTTATTTCCAAGAGCCTCCCAGCAAGATCGCTACACACAGCACTTTTCTGCTCCAACGACTTCTTCCAAAACTCTGCTTCTGCTAAAGCTTTCTTAAGTTGAGCCTCCATTGCTGAAGACTTTCTCGTCATGTCTTCGATGACTTTGTCTTTTGCTTTCAAACAAATCACAGCTCTCTCCTCGAGTGCCATGTATTGATTATGTAGTTCTATTGTCTTCTGGTGGTTCTACACATTATTTAATGAAGTTTAAATGTATGTTTTATAGAGTATATATTAAAAAAAAAATCACAATGTAACAATAATAAACTATTACCTGTACCAAGTTGTTGAAGTCAAGTGCTTGTTGTTTATACGGATCGAACAAGCCTAGCGATATGGTTTGGTTGTTTGTGATTACTCCAAAGGTGCCTGTTGACCTATCGAATGTCAACTTCTCTGGACCTCCTTGCATTTTGAGTATATTAAAGAAGAGAGTCTTTGTTTTTGATTCGGAGATTAAGGGACAATGTGTGATGTAAGAAGATATGTGTGACGTTTCGATCAAGAATCCGTATTCGTTAGAGTGTCTAGTGTGTTGAATTTAAAGGAAGCAGAAGATTATGAACACAAAGAGACACGAATGCTGGTGTGAGAATGAACGCGTCTGTTTGATTACAAAACGAGGCATCGTTTCGGTATTGTAAAGGCCCGATAATTAATTTAAGGCCCAGTACGTAGAGAAGGATTAGAAAAGGTTAAGGGGTAAAAGCCCACCAAGTTAGTCTTTTACGTCTTTAAATACGGATCTATTATGTAGGACATATTTTAAATAGGCTTTCTAAAGGGCCAATAATTTTGACATGCTCTATTTTTTTTTTTTTATCTACTGCCCATTTGAATTATAGATCAAGTGATCAGATAAACAAGATTCCCCGGAAAACAGCTTTATCTAGCCAAGTCTGATCTATAAAAAAAAAATATAAAATTGAAAAATATTTTTCATCTAACTGGATCTGATTATTTTTGAATGGTGTATGAACAAATCTTGATCCCCAAACTTTGTAGGGCGCATGTGTAGTTAAGCTTTCCAGTGTGCCCCAAGCTGGAGGACGCCCGTGCAATGAAACAAGTTGTTGCACTTCTGAGTGCTCCTTTAGAAAAATACAATGACATAGTTACAGCTCTTACACTGTCAAACTATCCACGTGTCATGGATCATCTTGATGATGGAACGAATAAAGTAATGGCAATGCTTATTATTCAAAGTATAATGAAAAACAACTCGTGTATTTCAACTGCTGATAAGGTATGCTTACTACGTTCCTCAATTAAAGCGTATATATTAACTGCTGTAGTAACATGCCAATTTTTGTTAACTAGGTTGAGGTGTTGTTTGAATTGATAAATGGACTTATAACGGATTTGGACTTATAACTTCCAAGGCACAGGTCACTGCAATTCATCTGATCGTTGGAACCTTGCAAAGAATCAATGTCTTTGGTGTCGAAAACAGAGACACCTTGACACATAAAGCAACCGTGGTACTACTAACTTTTCTGCCCATACTTCCTCGCTCTATAAGTTTTCTTCTCAACTTGATTTTTGTGTTGTTTCTTGTGACCAGTACTCAGCAAGGCTTTTAAAGAAGCCTGATCAGTGTCGAGCGGTTTATGAATGTTCTCACCTCTTTTGGGTCGATGATCTAGATGGCATCAAAGATGGAGAAAGGTACTCCCTCTCTCTCTGTTTACATTGATCTTCTTAGCTTCAAAACTAATTCATTACCGATGTTATTCTTTTAGAGCTCTTCTATGTTTAAGACGTGCACTGAGGATAGCAAACGCAGCTCAACAAATGGCTAATGGCAACCCGAGGTAGCAGCGGACCAGTCACACTGTTTGTCGAAATCTTGAACAAGTCGGTACACTAAAACATCTGAGATTAGTTCATACACAGTCCTGAAATCAAATCCATACATGTTTGCTCTCTTTTCTGTAATCTTTATTCTCTTTTGTTTCTAATACTCTCTCTACGTGTATAGAATCCTTGTGTTTCAATCTCTGTCTCAATTTTAAACGTTGTTTCTATGGTGCAAAGCTCAGAACATAAGAATTGGATCCCAGTAGCAAAAAAAAAAACGAAAAATGTATTTAAGAGATTAGTCTACATAGTAAAAGTACAACAACAACAAACACACCAAGAACTCATCACTCTTCTCTTACTAAGAAACCTCTTGGCCTCACTTTCACTCATTAGATCACAACAACTATACAAGAGTTGCTGCATTTGATGCTAGATCTCTTCTTCCTCTTCAGCTTCGTTTGTTACCCTATAACTCTTCTTGTTTCCTTAAAAGATGATCATCACAAGAATGCGCAACGATTCTTGTTCTTTTTCTTCTTCTTTGACTTGGGTGGCTGAAGTACAACTTTTATAGCTGCGTCAAAGACAGCTTTCACGTTCTGCAAAACCCCACAATACCCAACACTTTCAGTCATACAAAACCACAAAAACAAACAGAAATCTGAGATAAAATTTGGTAATGAGTGTGGACCTGCTGCGTCTTTGAACTACATTCAATGTAAACTGGAGATCCTATCAGTTTCTTTAGATCCTCTCCCTGCAAACAAACCCATTAAGACACGTCTCACATCTGTGAAACTCGACTTCTGTCTGAAAGAATATTGGATTACCTGATTTGTAGTAATTGGTACTGCACCGGGATGGTCTATGAAGAACTGCTTGTCATCTCGAAGATCTACAAAATTCACAACTATAAGTACTTTTCTTATCATCAGAAAAGAGTTTTACACAAGAACATTAGTCAGTACCGAGTTTTGTTCCAACGAGGATAATAGGAACACCAGGTGCATAATGCCTAAGCTCAGGAATCCACTGAATAACAAAACCAATTCACAATCAGATCACCAGAAGTTTAATATCATCAAACAAAGAAACTTAAAACAATAAAAAGAGCCAAACCTTCTTGGCTATATTCTCGTAGCTAGCTTTGCTAATAAGAGAGAAAGCAAGAATGAAAACATCAGCTCCACGGTAACTCAATGGTCTTAACCTGTTATAGTCTTCTTGACCTACAACACCAAACCCAAAACAAGAAGACTTAGTCAAAATCAAAAACATAAAAAAAAAAACAAGATTTAATCAAAAAGAGATGATTTTTACCAGCTGTATCCCACAATCCAAGATTCACAGTGTTCCCATCTACAACCACATTAGCACTGAAGTTGTCGAACACAGTTGGTACATAGTCCTGATTAAAGTCAACACACAAAATAAAGACACAACCTTTATGTTAAAAAGGAGCAAAAAGAACTAAACTTTAAACATTTAACAGCTTTATAACCTAAAACCCATTCTCAAAGAAGCTTCAAGAAACCAAAGGAGGAGACTTTAAGAGATTAACTCACCGTAGGGAAAGTATTACTTGTGTAAGAGATCAGCATACATGTTTTTCCGACGGCACCATCACCGACGGTAACACACTTTATGAACCTCGAAGCACTCATCTCCGCCGCTAATCAAAAAGGGTAAAAAAAAAAAGACTTCTTCTTTTGTCTTCCCCTTCAAAGCCTAACCATTACCAAGAATCAACAAAGTCACAACCTTTTTTTTTTACTAAACCCTAAAATTCGAATTGAAGAAGGCACAAGAACTCAAAAGAGAATAGTAATGAAGGTGTGGGGATGGATGTATGTTCGGTTTCGAGGAGAGATGAATGAGAAATATAATTTTTTTTTGTTTTTTTTTTGGGCCGTTGCTTTGGTGACTTTGAGATGCTTTTTACATACAGCTTACGCCAGCTATTGGTACACCAAACAACACCTTATCATTTACACTCACCCCACTTTAATTTTTTTTTAAATGATTGTTTTGGGTACTTTAATTTTTGAATTTGAATGAGAAAGTTATTGGTTGTATACTAAGTTGTTCAAGATTTTTTTTAAAAAAATATAGAATATAAAATGTTATCTAGTTTTAAATAAACTTAATTGTATTAAAATTGAATAATCAGTTATATTTTTGCAGTCTTGTTATTTATTACTCCCTCCGTTTCAGAATATATGTCATTCTAGACTTATTTTCTTGTCACAAATTAAGTGTCGTTTTAAAGTTTCGAGGCAAAATTGATTAGTTTTATATAATATTCTATTTTTCTATTTGTTGAAAAGTGGTTAGGTTTATAGGTAATTGTGTTTTTATCTTGGAAATATGTAAAATTAAATATTTCTTTAATATATGTGCAAAAACCTAGAATGACAAATAAAATGAAACGGAGGGAGTATTATTTTTTACAACAAACGTCTTGTTTTTTATATATTTTACTAATATTTATACTTTACATTTTTACCTAAATTATCATATACTTCTTTGTTTCATTATAAGTGTCATTTTAGAATTGTGCACACGAATTATGAAAACAATTAATTTAACATATTTTCTATATAAAAACACAATTACCTATACACTTAACCATATTTTAACCAATAGAAAAATAAATTACATAATAAAATTAATAATTTTTGTATTAAAAACCGAAAACGATACTTATTTTGTAATAAAAAAATTCTCTACAACCACAACTAATAAGAAACGAAGAGAATATTTGGAACGGAGTATATGTTTAAGATAACCAACTACCACCAAAACAATAACCTAATTCACTAGTTTCTTCTTTAAAGATTGACTCCTTAATCCTCTAAAGCGAATGAAAATTTCATAACCAGAAATACAGCAAATGATTGAAGATTATAATTAAAAACTAAACATAAAGAATAATCGACCAAAGTATGGGGACGCAGAATTAAACTATTAATCATTTGACTGGACCAACTCTCGTCAAGAACGTGCGACTTAGTGTTACGGCACCAATTCATTCCCTTTTAAATCAAATCTCTTTCAAATTTCATTATATATAATATAGTTTTATTTTGTCATGAGTGTTTTGTCATTATAGTTTTGGGAGATGTTTTCAGCTTTACGACTTATATAGGAGACCAAAAAAATTTCTTTCAAGAACGTGCTCAACTCTCATTTCAACCCGCCAATGAGCAAAACGACACATCATAATGCGTGCTTGAACTATATAATGGGGGAGGGGAGATGTGAGCTAATGGGCAATCATATGTAAACTTGGGTGTTAGAGTTAGCTTTACGTTTCTACCTACTCGTCACCAACAACTTTTCATTTTCATTTATTCTTACATGAAATGAAGTCAAGAATTTGGAAAATTTTTTATTTTAAACTTAACATGAATAAATCATGAATTTCAATGCTTCTAAGTGAAGCCATATGTTTGGAAAATATGTAGTTAAATAAATATTTAATCAGTGAGTCATAGGTAAGAAAAATTGTCACAAATTCCACAACACACTAAACACATCAGCAAGCTAAGAAAAGAAACACAATGAAATGAAGGCTCACTGGAGGCCCAGTAGCGAATTTAGGCCCATTACGCTAGTCCTGAAGTATCATAACGAAGAAGAGTATATTTGATAACATTATGAATCCATCCATGATCATGTTCAATAACTTGCTTCAGGTAATCACATATCATAGGTTTTGCATCCGTAGAAAGATACAGATTAAACATTTGCCTGCAAATGTTCTACGCAATTAGAAGATGTAAGTTTCTTGGCTTCTTATTCGTTTAGCATTTGTAACACATTTTTGGCGGAACATGCATTGAGTCTATGCTATTTTATGGTGCATAAAACTTTATATTATAACCAAACCAACATAAACATATCCGGTACATGTCATAAAATCACTCATTGATAGTGATACAGACTTATTTTATGAAAATTACACAAATTAACCACCGAAGAGTTTGCGAATAAGTTAACAAGGGAAGTAGCAGATACACTTGTGAGCTGGGAAGACATAGTTGCAAGATCCATGTCGTGCTTTCTCAAGGTTAATGCACTGATTCCTGCATGCGTTATTGTTTCCACAGACTCCTGACCACGTCCCACTTGGCCTCTCGCACAACTTCTGTGCTTCCACCATCGTTGGTGCTTCTGTAGATACATATAACTCACTAGTTTAATCATCAAATAATATGGAAAAAGGAAACAAAAAATCTAAAATTTGATAATTAGGTCATTACTCACCAAAAGCAACAAAAAGAACAAGAGCAGTAAAAAGAAAGGCGATGATGGAAGCAAACTTAGCCATGATCACTATTAAAACTTAGTTTTCAGTGTAGATATGTGTGTGAAGTGTGAAGAAATAAGCTTACGATCAAGCTCTATTTATAGTAGAGAAAAATGACGATAAGTAACACCGTCTTCTAGTATACAATACTAACACGCAAGTAGCACATGATAGACGATAATATGTTTGACAAATTCATAAACAGTGTGCTGATCAGTGTCTCGTTTCACTAAATTGTTCATTTGCAGTTTGAGTAATGAGTCTTCACAAAGCTGGGTTATTAATTTGACTTGGTCAAGAAGTTATATATCTTCACCAAACCTAGGTTACACAAGTGGTAGTGATTTTTGATTTGTCACAAGCACATTGCATTTAATTTGAACTTGGATATTTCTTGGTATTGATCTCACAACCATCAAACTAAAATCCAAATTACGTAGAGTTAATATAGCTATATAGTGGATTTTAAATTTCGATCTTTTGTGTAAACTTTTTCAAATTAGTATTATTTTGTTTCTTGTACGTACAGTATCTTTTTTATGTAAAGTCTCACCCACATATAGGTATTTCGAATTTTTTTTTTTTGGGTTTCCACAGACATGAGAAAACCGAGGATAAAAGAAAAACATATATACAAAAGTATTGAAAGAAAAATTGTTTTCAACTTCATCGCCTTATCCGCAAACTGTGATAATAAAAGCCACGTACCAACTCCTTGCTTCGTTGGCCTACTAAGAGAGCCCCAGCACGAGCCACAGAGAAGTAGCAAGGTTAGAAGAAGACACACAAACTAAAATGGTTAACTCTTATTAAACCAAAATTTACCCGAACCGGTTTTTGCTATACCTACGAACTTGGTTATCACTTATCTGCCACAAATAGAAAAATAAATCCACATGGGTTTCGGTCTAAAAGCCAATTAGGTTTCTCCATCTTGATGCTTTTTACCCATAAATGTGATATGAAGCCTTTAGATACACTCATACACGAGAATAACCTGAAACATTGTATAAACTGATAGACACATTTTACCCCCAAAAAAAAACTGATAGACTACACTGTGTATTCAACATTAACAAGAACAAAACAATTTTGACCCAAAAAAAAACAAGAACAAAAAATCAAATGCTAAAACACATCATGCATGTCACAAAATGACTAGAACACATTCGTTTTGTGTGTTAGCTAGGCTTTTGCATGTTTTTAGGCATGTGCTCAAAACCGAGAAGCTGCTGGGATTTTAGCAAAAAAAAAAAAACTGTTGCGTAAGCAAAATTTTCTCTGACATCTATTTCTGTAGTGAATCCATCTTTGGGCCTGAGATCTTTCTGTTTTAATCTATAACTAGACTTTGATCCGAACGGTAAACTTTGATCCGACCCGGCGGATATTTACTTTATGTTTTGTTTATACTAAATGATGTATTTTGAATATTCATAATTTTGGTTAAAAGTTAATCTTTAGAGTTATAATAAATCAAATTAAAAATTTCATAAAATATTCTGATATAAATTTTAAATTTCCTAATTAAAATAATATAGAAGTGGGTCATAATTTTTTCTATTCCAAGATCTTAGCGTCTTTTAAAAACAAAAACAAAATTATAAATACGTAAAATATATAAACATATTGAGAACTATAACTTCTATTAAATAAATTTCTTAAAGAAAAATAACATACTTTTTATTACTAATAAATATTAACATATTTAATATGTTCTATTAGGAAATTTGTTTTGGTTAAGATTTGACTAAGAAAATCTATTATTTAAATTATGAAAAAATATTAAATACTTAAATCTATTATTTAAAGTAGAAAAAGATAATCATACTTAAATATAGGTTTAATAAATATCTCAATGGCATTCCAATGTAAATAACTAATAAAATTAAGGGTTACTTATATAGATTTAGTGCACCAAAAAGAAAAAAAATTAAGGGTTACTTATATGGATTTAGTGCACTCAAACCCGGAGCTTCAATTTGAATCAGTTGGAAGTCCAACTGATTATAAAGATGTCAGGTGGAGTACATAAAATTAAGGGTTACTTATATGGATTTAGTGCACTCAAACCCGGAGCTTCAATTTGAATCAGTTGGAAGTCCAACTGATTATAAAGATGTCAGGTGGATTACATAAATCTCTAATCCTAGTAAAATTCATATTAGCGACTAATACTTCAAACTGTAGATAAATATTTGATGCCCAAGAAAAATGTTTGATTTTAGTGACACAGACTCATTTAGTGCAAAGCAAATATCAATATGCTGAATTATCAAATAATCTGAATGCAAAATTTAAGACCCATTCTTTCATTCTTTCGAGAAAATCATTACTCACAAAAGCAGCAACAAAGAGAACAAGAGCAGCAAAGAAAAGAATAATGGTAGAAGCAAACTTGCTTAGCTATTATATTATTTACTTTTTAATGTATGTGTAGTGTATGACTAATTAAGCTTGCAATAAATTTAGATGTACAGTATAAACTCTTTAAATTAATATTTTATGAATTAATATATATTAAAATTCTTTCTGAAATAATATAATGTTATAGTTCAAAATTGAGTTTTTATTTAATTAATATATCAATAAATTAATAATTTCTATAAATTAAAAAAATTATAGTTTTGGTGTATTCTCAATATTATTAGTTTATAGAGGTTTCACTATATAATGACATGAGGTTAGTTTTTCACTTTCATCAAACAATAAAATTTCAACAGGAAACACATACTGTGACATCTAACATTAATAGACGAGAAAATGTTGACTAATCAAATAATTGATGGCTTTTTTTCTCAACCACATCTACATTGGATGCCTGCCAGTTCTATCCAATGCAACCTAAACGAGTGGTTCGCCTAGAGGTTTTCAAATAGTATAAAATTTAATATAATGGAGTTTTTATATTTTAAAATTTTTAAACCACTATTTAGAGCAAAACAAATGTGCAAGTGGGTTTTTCATGGGGATATTCTATTTGAAAACTCATTTCGTTCTCTTTTTAGTTTTGGATAAATATATTTGATGATATCTCTTTTTCAGCAGAGATGCTTTAAGATCGTAACCAAGTTATAGCTACACAATTTGTAAAGGTGAAGAAGGATATAATCCCCTATATATTAATTGAGAAACATTTGAAAAGATGTAACCTCAAGTTTGTATTAATTAAAAAATAACCTTGCTTAGTTGTCAATCAATTAGCATACCAATTAAACTGACGTGGCAGCTTTAGGTTCAATTGAAATTTGCTAGGAAAAAATAATTAGAGACGCATATAACGCATATAACATAGTTTATATATTTATATATATCGCACGCATGTAATGGAAGAAAAGGAAAATATACGATTTGATAACGATTTGCATATATTAACTATAATAACTTCATTCCTTTTAATTTATGGAAGTGTATATGTAAAATGGAAATTACTTTGTGACCAAGTACATACTTAATGGTAAAGGCAAGTGTATATGTAAAATGTAANAGGAAAATATACGATTTGATAACGATTTGCATATATTAACTATAATAACTTCATTCCTTTTAATTTATGGAAGTGTATATGTAAAATGGAAATTACTTTGTGACCAAGTACATACTTAATGGTAAAGGCAAGTGTATATGTAAAATGTAAAACTTAATATGTTAACTTGGGAATTTATGTTAAAATTGATATATGCAATTCGTAAATGTCCCTTATATATTAAAGGAGAAACATTTAAAAAATTGTAACCTCAATTTTGTAATAGTTTAAAAAGACCTCATGCTTAGGTGTCACTCAATTAGGTATTCAATTACATTCAATTGAAAAATAAGTATGTCCACATTCGATTTTTATATGTCGTTAGATACATTCATTGGTCAAATTATATGATATGATGATATGATATGATATTTATGATAGAAGTATTTATGATTGTTTTCCTAGATATAATTACTATTTTATTTTCT